TGTTGCCGTTGCCTCTACCATTGCTGATATTGCTGCAATATGATATGACAAAGTAACAAAAGTTGCATTGTTATCAGTAGTAGGTATCAAGTAGCAACAAGAACTGTAACTAAACCCCTGCACATGCTTCACGAGCATGAAATTGCAGTAAAAGCACTAAATCCAAAACTGATGACAACAACAATTAGAACAAAAACAATAGGAGCAGCATGAGGAGCACGAAGAGCAACAACAATGTCATAGTGTAAGCACAAAAATCTCTAAAAAATCGTAGCTGGAAACATGACCATTAAAAACATTAAATCCGAAAATCACTTTACAACCACATCATTTGTTGTTTTTATTTGTTGGTTGTTGTCGAGATTTTTTCAAATTGGTTTTTTTGTTTTTACAAATGTTGGTAACCCAAAGCAAATCTAAACTGAAGCCACAGAATGTGTATGCCAAAAACGCATACAAATATTTTAAGTTGAGTTGAAAACTTTTATGTTTGTCTACAAATTTTTGTTACAAGGAAAAGTTTAAGTTTTTAAAGTAAATCATTATTCTTCTCTCCATTTGAGCCACCGAAAAATGAAACGTTTGTGGCTTACAACATTTAACCCCCTTCTCCAGAAAAAAATCCTGCATTTGGTATTATTTAGCTTAGAGAATATGATGCATTCACAGCAACACAAGAGCAACAACATATTGAGTTGTTACTTCTTCTCTTTATGGACTTGAAAAAAAAAAAATAATCCTTATGGTGGTCCTTTTTGTCTGCCCAAATAAATCTTTATGAGTGCTTGTTTTTTATTTTGTTTCTTGTTTGTTTTTTTATATTCTCTTTTTTTTTGTTTTTCCAAAGTAACAAATGCACTTTTTAGCTTAAAAAGAATTTGTAGTTAGTCATGTTCTTAACCGAGTTGGCTAGCTTTTATTGTGGTCTATCTGCAAACTGCAGTTTCCTTGGCTAGCAACTCATTTAAATAACAGCGCTGTGTTAAGCTGTTGCCATTTTGTGCCGTATTCTCTGCTGTACGAATTTGGATTTGTTTTCTCTTGGTTTTGTGGTTACTGGCCACTAATGGCGAAGTTTGGTTCTTCCGTTGTTCATTTAGGTTTAGTAGCAACAAATGTACACAAATTTGCATACTTCCCGCTCTGTTGCAACTTGAATCGGTTGCATGATTAATTTAGCTTGCACATTTTCTTTTTTCCAGTTTAAAAATTTTTCATAGTCTGCTTTTGAGCGCACATTTCACGCGCAAAATATTTTATTCTGTTTGCTTTTATTACCTAGAAAATATGGTTAAAGGATATTTTGCGGTAATAAAATAAACAATTTAATTTGTATGTCATTAAGAGCTTTTTAAGCAATTACATTTATTTCCTTTTGACAAAGGTGGAAAATAAGAAAGTAAGATTTATTTTGTAATGACGAATTTATAATAAATAGAACTTGTCTGTGTAATAGACTTAAGTTGTAACTTTAAGGACATAATTACATCTAAATGAAAGGTTTGTTTTTATTGAGCACATAACTATAAATAATATTTATTTATAAACAGCATAATTTGCTTACAATTTTTCTTAAATACATTTGAGGAGTGTAATTTATTAGTCAGTATTGGAACTAAAACTTTAAGACATTGTTAATATTTTAACTTTCGTTAAAATATAATCAAAATTTCATTGCGATCTGTAAATCCATTCTTAACAACAATTGACATTTTTTATTGTGCATATACTCGTATTTTATTTTACTTTAATTTGTTCAATTGATGTTTGAAAGCATTATTTGTTAAAAAATAATCCTTTACACAATATTTAGTATGTTTCAACTATTAATATTATTTTAAGATTTAAATGTTTGCATAAATTTTTATTGCATATTTTTAGGAGCTTAAAAGCTAAACATTTGAAATTATTGTTATTAATTATTTTCAATACATGATAGTTAAATTTTATATGCTTTATTTGTGAGAATATATAGAGGAAGTAAAACAAAATAATAATAGCCTATAAATATATAGAGCTGCATTCTTTACTGCTATATCTGATATGTGCGAGTTGTACTTTTTGGTATATTTTATACCAACAAGAAGTCTTAAATTTGGTGATGTCTCCAATTTTTTCGGATGATAGCTCTGTCAAGGTATGAAAGGGTCATTTTAAAAATTAACTGAAAATTAACTAAACTGCAATCAATTCGTTAACAATTCTGAGCTAAGTTTTCATTTTTGGGCATATTGAATTGCACCTCTTTTTTAACTATATGTTATATTTATATGTTATATAGAATTTTAAGTATATATAACCATAATATTATTTTACTTAAACGAAAACCATGATATTTTATTTATTTCCCATAAATAAGACCAGTAATTTAATTTATATAATATTAAATTATTTAACATAAACTTTTATTGGTCAATGGATTGTCTGTAAGCCTGTTTAATTAAGAAAATATTAATTTAATATATTTCAATAATATATTCTACTTTAATATCATAATCTTCTTAATTTTAATTTTCTCTATAATATTTTTTGTAATACACTTTCCATGAAAGAAATGTGAATTTCATTGAAAATAATTTGTGTATTCTCTGTCTAATATTTCATTTCATTTCACTATAATATATAAATACTTATTTTTTTTAGCAATATATTCATTTTAAATAACTTTTTTTTTATGCTTGTAATATGGTATGGTGTAGGTATTACTACACCATAAAATATTTGTGAAGATGCATAAATTATTATTGCTCCAATTATCTGCTTAAAATAAGCCTTAATGCGATTAATTAAGACAATTCAAATGAAAAAAAATCGTTTTTTTATCAGTAAGCTACAAATTTAATTGTCATAATGTTAATATCTTTAATTATCGATACGTGCAAAAATAATTATAAAGCACATTGTGTGCATATTCTGGATATGTATGGGAAAAGGACCTAAAACCACTACCACCAAATAAACGCCTTTGTTTATATACGTATATACGTGTGTGCGTGTATGTGTGTGTGATAATTAATAATAACTTTGCAATCTCTGCAAATCTTTCAACATACATGCCAACCTCATTTGCTCGATTTATGAATTATAATTAAGTCATAATACGCTTAATATTTGAAGCATACTTTCGTGCGCTCCTTTGTCCATTTGTGGCAGTGCATTAAATTGCAGTTTATATGCATTCAAGTTAAATATTTGCAAATGCTTTATAGACTTTATGCGAGTATTTATGTATTTTGTTCCTTTTATTATTGTTGTTATTGTTGTTGCTATATTGTTTTACTAATAGTTGTTGCGATTTTGTTTGTTTGGGTTGTTTGGTTATTTATGTACTCATTATTCAATGGTCATAAAAACTTCTGCATATATATCTTTGCATTTGTAAATCATGAATAATAATTTTATTGCTGCTGTTTATCTCACTAATTAGCCGTTGCGGCCACTTCACTCCAATTGCAATAATGAAATTTAAAATTGTATTTTAATAGCTGATTTAATCTGTCAAAAGGGAAGTTTACTTTACTACAGATTCAAATGCAATTGTAATTGTATTAAACAAACATGCATATACCTTCATGTGTGTGTGTATGCAATATATAATTATTTTATTTATAATTGTTTTAATTATATGAATACGAATACATTTTTGTACAGTTTAATTGAATGTTTACTTTGTACTCAGAATATTCTTTTGTATAGCTTAAGTACTTAATTGCATAATTAAAATACTTACTAATTATCTCTAGTTATAAGCGAATAATAAAACTGAATTCTGAATAAACACAAATGTTTTTCCATGATTCAAATTAGTTTTCAAATTACATGTAATTATAACCAGATTCCTTTCAATAATATAAATTTAATGCATATCTGCCTAGTAACATAATTGGTTTGTTAAGTAGCTTAATGAATCCTCTTAACTTCTTTGAAATACATTTTCTGCTTATAAAATTATATTTCTATCAAAGATATTTTTTCAATATATTTCGTTTATAGTTGATAGATACAAGCATTCATTTCAAATGAAACCATAAAGTGAATTAATTTGTGAATGTCATTGTAATGGCGATTCTGCCACTATATAGAGCGAACTATTGCCACTGTAATGACTTAACGAAGTGAAAAACATTCATATTCTCTAATGAAGACTAACACAGCTTTCATTGATAAAATTCCTATATAATTTCTACAGTACCTTCATTCTGATTTGTCATTTGGATTTTAATTTCTTTTAATTGTATTAGACAGTAATGTTGTATATATTTCTATATATATATTATATATTATAGAACGAGGTGTTATAAATCTTGAATGCTGCAGCTTAACCTAACCAAGACGAACATATTCAGACATTTTAATAAAGGCCAAAACAACAGGGGTTAAAAAATTTCTTCGTCTTGACCAATAAAGTTATCATTCTAGTACTAGTTCTAGTTTCGTTTACATTTTATTTAAGTTAACGTGAGAGAATCATTGGTGGGATTATTTTTGTATTCTTTAAGCCATCTATATAACTCAACCTATATTGTTTTTGCATCATCGCTGCACGTATTGTAATGATATGGTAATGTTTACTGTATATGGGTGAATGATCAATCCATTGTTGAAATATTGCAGATAGATCAGGGACATATGGATAGATCCCATGGTATCACCGTTTGTTATAAGTCATATCATCCACGTATGCGTGAATGCACTAGATAGCGTAAAAATTATTATATTCCTTATATATTATTATACGAATGGGGTCTACATATTTTAACACAAACTTCCTTGGTTTGGTACACGCAGAGAAAATTATTAATTATAGTGACATGAAAGAGTTTATAAAAGAACAAAAAGCAATGAAAGCAATACTTCCATGATTCTGTATTTCAAAGATCTAGGTTATAAACAAACGTTATAAAAATATTTTGTTTTAATTTATTGCTAAATGTTATTGTTATTTTATAAGCAATTTCATATAAAGTTATTAATAAAAAAATTCTTTTTTATATTTACAGGTGAGTCCACAAGAATATTACATACTAATGCCGCAGAAAATAGTAAGTTTTTTTACTTTAATTATTTTTATTTTTTTAAATATACTATTATATATTAAAAGAACCTAAAAGAAATTTGAGTTTTGATTTTCTTGTAAACCATAAAAAATTTTTTTAATTCAACCCTTATTATTTTCAAAATGTAATAAAAATTTAGGGTTCTCACATATCTACAAAAAAATGGTTCACTATTTCAGAGAAACTAAAGAACTATTGTATAATAAAAAATTCAATTTCAACAATTTTTTAAATGAAGGTTATATCACCAAAAAAAAAATGTTCCCCAAAAATTCTACATCATTCAATGTTCTCCCTATTTGTAGATTCTATAGAAAACTTGACATTATCTATGAGTATAGTAAATTGCAATGTATCCACTTATGTTTGCTTACGCCATTCATTGAATTGAATAGGTATGGAATGTTTATGGCATTTATTATTTATTTTGATGCTCACATTTCTTGGTAGAGTCTAATAAAAAATGTTCATAACCAATACTAATTATTAAATTTAAGTATTGTATAGTTATATGCAGTGAAAATATGAATAGAGAAGTGAAAAGTTTTCTCACAGTGACCTTTCTGAAATCATACTACTTATTTTATATATACATACATATAACATTTTTAATTTTAATAAAATTGTTTATTTACATGCGCTTCCATCTAAAATTTAATATACTTCATTATCGTACATATTAAATTAAAAAGAAACCCTTCTCCTAATGTATTATTTTTTAAATATTTTTATAGCATATTTACAGGGGAAAAATATAAAACTTAAATTTTTGCTTATACATATGCAAAGAATTTTTTTCATTTTTAGGTTTATTTTCTATACTTTGTTGAAATCATGTTCCTTATTTATAGATTTATTTGTTTAATACATATATAACAATGTTTTATAAAACACTTTTCTCCAACGATATTTAAATTTTTTTAAAATATACAGAAAACGGTTAAATTTTTTTTTGTAATTTCAAAGTCAAACTTCTGTTTTTTGGATAAACTTCTTTTATTTTGCGAAGTAAAACGAACTCAGATAGATATTTTAATATTTGTAAAATATATTAACTTTTGTCAATTTATTGTATATAGGTATTTAAAATTGGATTACTACTGTTGGACTACTGCAGTACCTGTCTATATATATATTTATTTTCCCCATTATATTTAATAATCATTCTTGATCATCACAATCCTACGTAATGAATTTAAATTTTAATTTAATAATTGCTTTAATACTCGAAATCAACTCACTCACTTAACCTGAAACCAACTTCGAACCTTTAAAGGCAGTCAAATAATTTTGTTATTTGTTTTACAACAAACAGTGTCTTAACAAACGGTTAAACATTTTACCCTTGTACCTTTAAAAAAAATGGCTCGAAAGACTAACTTGCCTTCTATGCTATCCAGAAACAATTACTAATATCAAAGCATTTAGTGCTAATTTCATTCCGAAAATTCACCGAAAATCTATTTTTTGCCTATTTAGCAAAACTTAATTAGGAGAGCGCACAAACGGGCAGCAGCGGTGGTCTATGGTAATTTTAATAATTATCAAAGGAATTTCAGAAACCAGAACAATAGACTTTTTGGCTGGCTTAAGCGAGGAAGCTTTATGCTGTTGTCGTGGCAAAACAGTATTTATGAAATGTCAAAAATATTAGCTTTTACTTACTCTACGCTACCGCAGTTCATAATTTTATTCATTCAACCATTCACTTGCAAACAGCAAACAGCAACAAGCTACAAGTAATTGGCTTATCATATTTTTCAAATCGAAATTGTTCAAGTATTTTATGCTTATATTTATGTACCATGAAATACTTGGCAAACCTTTACGCTTCTACCCCGTAGCGCACCAAATTTTTTAGTATTCGCACTTAAAAGATATTCCACTTTTTGTGTTCTTTTCACTTTTTAAAGACCGTAAAGTCGCTACGGTACAATGTCAGCCAAAAAGTATGCTTGCTTTAATTATTGCACAACCCTCTCTGTGCTATTAACCGTGCAAGGGAATGCGCATAGTTAAGCACAGTTAATGAGTAACGACTACAATTAAATCAACAAAATGTGTAAATCATACGTTTTGCTACATTTGAGCGTGGAAGTAATCGATGTGAAAGCAGTCATCATTAACCGAACTCAGTTTGACTTTTCCGGTATTGTGAGTTGAACTGTGAAGTATTGACATAAATCCAAACTTTCGAACGGGAACCCCTTTCAAATATTATTCTACCCCTTCATTTCATTCTTTTCGTTCTTTAGAAGTTTTTGCATCACATATTTTACGACGTTTTACTTTATTTCTCTATTTCCCACTGTTTTTAAACCTTTTGCACTGCAAATTAATGATCAATTGTCAATGATATTTTTGCTTTTAACTTTTAAACTTGAATTCTCTACGCGAATTGTACACCAAAATTACCGCACCCAATTAATAATTGTAACTCTGGCATTTGTTGTAGAAATCTCTGCCCCGCCTCCGTACTTTTGCTATGCGAAATCTATAAAAGTAATTTTGTTTGTATTCCTAGCAAAAATATATTACTAAGTTTTACTTCATACTCTCTTAACTCAATTCAGTCAGTTTCCGAAGTAAAGTGGCTTATTAGTGTACAAAGTTTACTTAATTTCATTTCTTTGATTTTTGTTTTGTTCTTAGTCAGTTTCAGTGGCATGCAGTAGAAATTGTTGAACATTTCTACTTAATCAGGGAGGGTGACTAGCGGAATTGTAGTCAAGTTTTCATACATTTCATTGCTTGATAGTATTTACTATACTCTTGGCTTTTGCTATGTAACCTTGTTTAGATATGAAATAGACTCTTTGGGTAAGTTAGTTTGAAATTTGGCAAGTGCTGATGACACAATAGCAGCACAAATCGGAACAATAATAAACTTTGGTAAACTGATATTAAGAATAATTAAGAAAAATGAGCATTGTTCATTTTAATTAAAATGATTAAGTTGTTTGATAGTAGAAAAGTATAAGTATACTATAACCTTAATTATAGGCTCCTACTTTTTCGATCTTAACTCTACTAATATATAATTTATTGAAGTAATATTACCATAGTAGGTCGTTAAACCAACACATTCATGGTGTTGCATATTAGTTTTAATCTTGTGTGGTATACTTGGGACAATTCATTTCATTCAGTTTTCAATTCATGAATTAAAAACTCAGTGACAAGTCATAGTTAATCGCGATGCACTTTACACTTTTATAAGAGGCACTTTGTCGATAATTACACTAAAATCTAAACTTATAGGAGATAATATAACCTCTCTATGGCTTCACTTAGATGATAGGTAGAGGTACTTCGTCGGTAATTAGACTAAAACCTTTATAACTTAAGCAGAGATAACATTACTTTCAGATCGATTTAGAATTTCAATTAATTTCATACTATATTGTTGTTACATCCTCTCTACCTCATCTTGTCACCTTTGTTCTTATATTTTGGAAAAATCTATAAAGATCTTTAAATAGATGACATGGCTTTGTAACCATGATATGGGTATAAGACAGTGACAGTGATAAAGCTCCAGAAGCGGGAGTTTTAAGCATAAAGAAAAAGTATGTAAGAAAAGAAAAACTCCTCTGTTAACCTATTAACCAGTGACTTACTTTTTCTCACTGATCATACAGTCATATACAAAGAGATCAGATCATTTAGCATTAGAGCTTAACAAAACTTATCTTATAAATATATTTTTAAAGTAAAAAGCTTGGTATCGCATCCAAAATCAAAACAGTGATATATGATGTCTAAGTATATTTAAATAATATTTGAAGTAAGAAATATATACATTTATAGTTTTTATTGCTGCTCTTTTTAATTAAAATTTCTCATATTCCTGAACAGATTTTCGAAAATGCTTTAATAGACAATTCGTCATATAAAATAACATAAAATTTAAAAAAATATATATTTTTAAAATACTTCACATTCTTCCCCAACCAATTTTTACCAGAATTATATATAACTTTATATATTCCAACTCTGATGAACGCAGCCACTAAAGCTGCCATACACAGTAGTAGAAGTCCTTCATTTGATTATTTTTTGTAGCATATGTCTAGGATTAAATGTGAATGTGCACTGAAAGTAGGAAAGTAGCAGTAACATAAAACCCATAAAATCTAATAATTATTATACCGCAAGTCAAGCAAAACACATGCCCCAAACATTGTTGAAAATTTTCAAAATTTCACACAAACACATACACGCGAGTTCCGTACACCGACTCAGCTCAGAGTAAATATTTTTTGCCTTTGATAAACTGTGGTGTGCTGCATGTATGCATAAGCTTAATGGTCGCACAAACGCTAATCAACTGCTCGGTTTTATTGCCAACCCCCACTGTGGTAGAAAGGTACAAAAAGGGGTGTAAAGGGTTTTAAAGTAGGCTTTTGTGACAAGTAACTTTTTTTCTGGTTATATAAAATTCACAAAATCTAAAATAAAATAAAGAAAAGTTAATGGGAGTCGACTGCATTGCTAGGTTTCAGCTAATATACTAAAGCAACACAACAACACACACTAACGTCATAAAAATCACACACTCTAAAAAAAACACAAGTTCAAGCCGCGCATAATGCAGCGCAGCCCACCAAGTAGCGCCTACAAATTTTTGCTACCTTCATTTTGTACATAATTTTGCTTTGTTTGCTCGCTAGCTTATGCAAGCTTAACGTGGCATTTTTGGCGCTTTTTTCGTCTAAAATTTATGACAGTTGGCAGCGCTGTTAGAGTTTGCGTTTCACTTCACGCCTGCATGCCGCCGTTCACTGGCTTGCCTTGTGCCTGCTTACGTGTAATAACCCCTTTTTTAGAATTTGTTAAATTTTTAAATGAATTTTCTATGTGCGCCTGAGTGTATGCTCAACTTTAGCGCTTTTTTATTTATTTTATTATTTTAATTTTTTTTCTCCTTCTCAGCGGTGTTAGAGTTTAGCAAAGTGCTAATTTAAAAAAAAGAAGTGTTAAAG